GGAAATAAAAGGAAAGACCATTTCATTTTTCAAAAAAGTGAACTCATAGTTTTCAGGTATTGTGATGAATTAGTTCGTTATGTTGTGGTCTTTCCTCTTAAATCTTCTACAAATAAGAAACAGTAACACTTTATTTTTCTTTGATTTACCTACCATAACTTAGGCACATTATTGAGAAATTCTTCAAGATCTTGTTTTTGTCATCTTATGCCTTGTAATGAAGACGGGAACATTTACAGGGAAATAGATTTGAACTAAGAAGTTTCATAAAGAGCACGAACAGTAGTGTGATGTAAAATTACTCATGCTAGAAATTTTCATAAAAGTGACCCGAAAAATGGCACTAACTCGGTAACCCATGGCCCGATTTTAACTAAACTTGTTTTATTCTGTTTCTATTCTCATTTCATTACAAATACGGCACTATTGTGTGCCATTTTTGCTGTATTTAATTACAAACAAGCAAACAAACAATCTCAGCGTTCTAGTAGTATATAGATTTTATGTTTGTTAAGAATAACTCTCTCTCCCGTGATTGTTGTTCTTGTTTACACAACATGAAATATAGCAACTAAATCAAGCTTGTTTTCATAAGGATGAATTGAAAACAATCATTACATGGTTTTTATAAAAAAAAATTCTACTTACTGTTTTATTCAATTATTTTGTGAGCTCTCTAAGGTTCTTAACCAAGGAATTCCATTTTTACCAATAACTTCATTCACTCAGTAAATTTAAAGATCATGCTGAAACACTTAATCCACTTGTAGATTTTTCCAGAGTTCTTTTAAAAATTCAGAAAATGTATTTATGATCTTTGGAATGGAATTTCAAGAACTCTTTGCCTTAGATGGATATTTATGTTCTTTGGAATGGAATTTCAAGAACTCTTTGCCTTAGATGGATATTTATGATCTTTGGAATGGGATTTCAAGAACTCTTTGCCTTAGATGGATATTTATGTTCTTTGGAATGGAATTTCAGAAACTCTTTGCCTTAGATGGATATTTTAATTAGACCTATTATAGAATTTTGTTTCCACTACAAATGCATTTCTTTAAAACAAGTCACTTGGAAAAATATTTGAAGTTGTATCTTACCACTTAAAATTTCAGAAGTCAGTTATTAAATCACTTACTAACACTTAGTGAGAAGACTATTTTTAATACTACTTTAAAAAATTCAATAACAACAGCAAATTCAAAGATGTAAATCATGCTTCACAAGATAATAGTTATAGTAACCATGATCAAAATCTAATTTAAAAATTACATCTCAAAATAAGTTAGTGTAAATTCTAATAACAGTGATCCTAAAACTGTTTTTTATATTAAGGGTAGTGGTGAGAAATTAAGAAGAATATTTTCCTCTCATATAGTTCTTTTTTCTTGACAAAAAATTAAAACAGTTTAAAAAATTAATTTTCTATCTATAATGTTTAAGTAACTAATTTTACGTTATTAGAACCAGGTTTGTAATTGTAAAAGCTTTGTAATGACAGAGCCTGACTAACAGCTCACAAAGTTCAAGTTATAATCAGTGAGCTGTTTGTATAAAACCAAAGTTAAAACCAGCAAGATTAGAAGACAACAGATTAACTCTTTGACTACAAGCTGGGTGGATTCCACTCAGCTCATAACCACTAAAGTAACCATGAGAACAGTCATACTATAACTTTTTATAATGTAAGCATATCTATAACCTCCAGATAACTATCAAAACGTTTTTTTTAGAAATACTTTATATCTTGTCCGTCATTTTCTATATCTTATATCTGTATGGGTTTGGTTGAATTGACTGATCTTGTAACCACCATAAAAAATTAGTAAATAGATCTAAGTTATGATTTTTTTCATTCTAGAATGACTACAAATCATAACATGAAACCACAAATATTTATTCTAAATAGCTTAGATCTCATAACATTATACATCTATTTATATTTATTATTTTACTGATCTTTCAGCCATGTCTGACTAACATTACAGAAGTTGCAATCATGCAGCTCATGTTAACGTATCCAAGAATATAAAACTGGCCGTTACAAAGTACAGCTATCTTGGCTTTGTTCTAGTGGATCCAGTATTTTGTAAAATACAATCACATTTTGGTTATAGTACATTAAATATGTGTGTGTCTGTGTGCGTGTATATAATATATATATATATATTATTACTATTTACAAATAAATTCTTAAATTTCAGTTATTTTTCTTAAAACATTGAACAGTAAATTTAGAAAACAATGATCTTTAATTCTTACTATTGATATGAAGATTATAATCATTTGCCATACTTTGCCAAATCTTAATGAAATTTGCACATGTAGGATGTAAAACAAAATAACCTTGTTAAGCCTTGTATATGCATTTTGAAATAGAAAAATTATAAGTTACTATATCAATACTACAGAATTCCACTGTAATTTATCAAGCATACTAACTAAACTGTATTTTGGTCTAAAAAATATACAATCATCATTTTGTCTTACCTCTAAACTTTGAGCTTGGAACCAAAAAGACTGTTTTTAGCACCTAACCACCTTATAAAGGCCAAGAAAACCACCTGGGGGTAAATCTGAGTTTTTGATTGGTTATAAACATGTAATGGAGCGAAGTGAGTGTATGTAAACAAGTATTTCCAAAAATTGAGGAGGGATGGATTCACTAAATTTAATGATATCTCAGCAAGTAGAAAATATAGGATGTTCTTACTTTATATTATAGCTGTCATAAAATGTAAGCTGACTATACCCAGAAAACAACATATTGCATGACACACCAAGTGAGTGTATGTAAACAAGTATTTCCAAAAATTGAGGAGGGATGGATTCACTAAATTTAATGATATCTCAGCAAGTAGAAAATATAGTATGTTCTTACTTTATATTCTAGCTTGTCAACATTGTCAGAAACTATAGACATTGTATTGTAGCTGTCATAAAATGTAAGCTGACTATACCCAGAAAACAACATATTGCATGACACACCAAGATCGATATTTATGAATTTTTTATATTTACTTTTAAATTATTAAATTAACTAATGTAT